ACTGTCTTCCGGCCCCCTCTCTCTTCACTCTGGCCCAGAGCAGCACTTGGTGCCCTGCAGTGATCATGGGGGCGAGAGGGCAGTGCCGAAGGGGCCCCCTCCCTCCCTCCCCCCCTCAGGCAGGCACTCGGCAGCCCTTCATTCCTCCCCCTTGCAGCCCCCTCCCTCCTTCCTTCCCTGCCCAAAGCAGACCCTTCAAGGAGGGAGGGAGGGAGGGAGGGGGGTGGTCCGAGAAGGAGCCTGGTGGGGGGGAGGGAGCCCCTTCCCCCATTTAAGGGGGCCAGGGGGAAGAGTGAGACCCACCTGATTTGCCCACAGAAAAGAGGCAGGGAGAGGCTGGCCTTCTCCCCCCCCCCCCCCTCCCTGTTGTCCTTCTGGCTAAAACTTTTTCCTTCGGACAGGCTTTTGAAGAGGGAGGTTTTGAAGATCAAGTCGGGGGGTGTTGTGGTGTTTGAATATTTCTGATGGATGTTCCCTGTGAATTTTTTAGTGCTGTTTGTGTCTAATTCTGTTTTGATGTTTGCATATTTCTATATTTTAAATTGCATACTAATGCTTTTACGTCAAGCCGCTTTGAGTCCCCTTTGGGAAGACACAGCAGGGTAGAAATGTAACAACAACAACAACAAACAGCTCTATTCAGTTTTGATGCTTCGTCACTGGACGGAGTAATTCAAGCCCAACCTTCCCCTCATCCAAACAGATCTGGTCCTTTTCCCTCCCTCTCTCAGGCCGGTGAGTGAGAAGCCCAGAGCTGAGCGAGAGATTCTCCTGACTGGACTGACCGGTCCCCTCTTTCAGGACGGAAATGGCAGGCCTCTCGCGTCTTGACTTGAGGCCTCTCTTGTTCCAGCTGGACTTCTGCCTGGCGTCCATTCCGTCCTGGTTCCCTCTGGATTCCTTCTTCGTGGCCCTTTGTTTACCTTCCATTTCTCCTTCCATTTTTCCTTCTTGTTTGGCTCCCCCTTCTCATCCTGCTTTCCCAGTTTCCATTGTCCTTCTTTGGGGGCCACTAGAGATCTCTTCAAAATGGCCTTTAGTTGATCCAGCTTATCGTTGGCACTAGGGATTAATCCATCCAGAATTTCCAGTGGTTTCATCACTTCTGTTCATTCAGCCAACATCTTCTTATGTTGTTTTCCTTTCTCCATTTTAGGAGGTTTCGACTGAATGTTGGATTTCTTCTTTAAGCGCTTTTATCCAATCGATGTCGTATTTTGGTAAGTTTTCAAATAAATGTCTTTTGCAAACAAGCTCCTATATTTGGCAATGCTTCAGGAGGATGTTTGATAAATCAGTGAGCTGTGTTGACTTCTCTTCGATTCAAGGCCACACGGAAATACCTTCCTCCTTTCCTTCCTCTTTTCTCTCTGATCCAGAAAATTACAAATCACTAGCCGTCCCCTGCCAGGCGTTGCTGTGGCCCAGTCTGGAGATCTGGAAAATAAATTAGAAAGTATTGGTTTCTAATATATGCAATCTCTTTCTGCTTGTTGGGTAAACAGTATTTCTTGCTGTTTCTTTGACAGTGTTGATGTGGAGAGTGTCTGGTTTGCCATCCATCTAGGGCAGTGGTTCTCAACCTGGGGGTCCCCAGATGTTTTGGCCTTCCACTCCCAGAAATCTTAACAGCTGGTCAACTGGCTGGGATTTCTTGGAGTTGTAAGCCAAAACACCTGGAGGGACACAGGTTGAGAACCACCGATCTAGGGAGCTGCAATCCCCCAGGAGACCCCCAAAACATCACAGCTTCTCTCATCTACATCACTGTCGCCAAGTTTGCAAAGGTCTGCACTTCTCCTTGGCTTATTTCTGTGTAGCCAGGTGAACCCCTGCCCTCATTTTGAGCTCGTTGGAGGCACTAATCTTTCTCACGACTATGGACAGAGCCTTTCATCATTTAATCTGCCGCCATTCCTAAACCGGAAGTTTGCATTTTTCCTTTGTTTGTTTTTTTTTCTTTTTATTTGTTCTGCCTGAGGTTACATACCTTTGTGGTATAGGTTTTGTAAGAGTGCAATATGTCAAGGAACTTTGCCGCCAAATGTGCTCTCAATGTCTCCAGGTGCCGTGCTTTAGAAACGTGGGGCAGGGATCACGCTGCTGGGAAAGAGAGGAGCAGGAACATTTTTTTTCCTGAGTTGCAAGAAATATACACAAGACAATGAAGTGTTTTTCTCACAAGACTGAGCACTTGGGATAGTACAGGTGATCACTCAGGTTCTGAGTTGGGATGCGAGGAAGCGGGATCTAGACAGGAAATGCTTTGTAACCTGAGCCCGCTTCTGTGCTGTTCAAGGGCAAGATGGATGGATGGTATCCTTGAAGAAACTGGCTCAACTTTGAAAGAACTGGGGGTGGCCCTGGCCAACAGGGAGCTCTAGTATGGGCTGGTTCATGAGGTCACAAAGAATCAGAAGCAACTGAATGAATAAACAACAACAGTGTTGTCCATTATGCCCTTGGCAGGGATTATTTCTTAGCCAACGACTACTCAGCAGCCAGTTGAGCCAGTCTTTCTCCCCTCTCCCCCAGCATTTGCGACAGCACTAGGCGATTGTTCTTCATGTCTAGTGAGATCTCTCTGTGCTCTGCCCCTGATAAGAATTTTCTCTCATTTGCATGGCAGGGAACCTCTGAATGAACCTTGTGAAGAACACTTTGCCCTTTGCCTTAGGTCTTCAATGAAAGTACACAGCACTGATAAGAAGAAGAAATAAGTTGGAGAAATTATATTTCCAGCTAGGAAGCTGTGTGTTCAAGGAGGAAAGGTGGGATTGTGCTGTAAAAAGAGGGCTTGGCAAAGAGAAAAGAAGACACAGCAATAGAGTGACCGAGAAGAGGAAATCTTGTCCTGTTGAGGAGAACATATCTGTGAAGTTCTGGCATAATATTTGAATTAATAAGTGTTAAGGGATGGAAAATCTTACTTCCTTGTCGAACCCACACACAAGGAAGCTGCATAATTGTATGGAATGTGGAAAACATTTCACTGGGAGAAGTTCTCTTACTAAACATCAACGAACTCACACAGGAGAGAAGCCACATATGTGCATGGAATGTCAAAAGAGCTTCAGTTGCAGTTGGTCTCTGCATATCCATCAAAGAATCCACACAAGGGAGAAGCCATAGAAATGCATGGAATGTGGAAAGAGCTTCAGTCACTGTTCGAGTCTGCATACCCATCAAAGGACCCATACAGGGGAGAAGCCACATACATGCAAGGAATGTGGAAAGAGCTTCAGTCAGAGAGGAGATCTGCGCTCCCATCAAAGGACCCATACAGGAGAGAAGCCACATAACTGCATGGAATGTGGAAAGAGCTTCAGTCAGAGTGGAAGTCTGCGTATCCATCAAAGGACCCACACAGGAGAGAAGCCACATAACTGCATGGAATGTGGAAAGAGCTTCAGTCAGAGTGGACATCTGCGTTCCCATGAAAAGACCCACACGGGAGAGAAGCCACATAAATGCATGCAGTGTGGAAAGGGCTTCAGTCATAGTGTGAGTCTGCGTATCCATGAAAGGACCCACACAGGAGAGAAGCCACATAAATGCATGGAATGTGGAAAGAGCTTCAGTCAGAGTGGACATCTGCGTACCCATCAAAGAATCCACACAGGAGAAAAGCCACATAAATGCATGGAATGTGGAAAAGGCTTCAGTCACAGTGCCAATCTGCAAATCCATCAAAAGACCCACACAGGAGAGAAGCCACATCAATGCAAGGAATGTGGGAAGAGCTTCAGTCACAGTGCGAATCTGCGTACCCATCAAAGGACCCACACAGGGGAGAAGCCACATAAATGCATGGAATGTGGAAAGAGCTTCAGTCAGAGTGGACATCTGCATACCCATCAAAGGACCCACACAGGAGAGAAGCCACATAAATGCATGGAATGTGGAAAGAGCTACAGTCACAGTGTGAGTCTGCATACTCATCAAAGGACCCACACAGGGGAGAAACCACATAAATGCATAGAATGTGGAAAGAGCTTCAGCCAGATTGGAAATCTGCGTTGCCATCAAAGGACCCACACAGGGGAGAAGCCACATAAATGCATGGAATGTGGAAAGAGCTTCAGTCAGAGTGGACATCTGCATACCCATCAAAGGACCCATACAGGAGAGAAGCCACATAAATGCATGGAATGTGGGAAGAGCTTCAGTCAGAGTGTAGATCTGCGTTCCCATCAAAGGATGCACACAGGGGAGAAGCCACATAAATGCATGGAATGTGGAAAAGGCTTCAGTCACAGTGCCAATCTGCAAATCCATCAAAAGACCCACACAGGAGAGAAGCCACATCAATGCAAGGAATGTGGGAAGAGCTTCAGTCACAGTGCGAATCTGCGTACCCATCAAAGGACCCACACAGGGGAGAAGCCACATAAATGCATGGAATGTGGAAAGAGCTTCAGTCAGAGTGGACATCTGCATACCCATCAAAGGACCCACACAGGAGAGAAGCCACATAAATGCATGGAATGTGGAAAGAGCTACAGTCACAGTGTGAGTCTGCATACTCATCAAAGGACCCACACAGGGGAGAAACCACATAAATGCATAGAATGTGGAAAGAGCTTCAGCCAGATTGGAAATCTGCGTTGCCATCAAAGGACCCACACAGGGGAGAAGCCACATAAATGCATGGAATGTGGAAAGAGCTTCAGTCAGAGTGGACATCTGCATACCCATCAAAGGACCCATACAGGAGAGAAGCCACATAAATGCATGGAATGTGGGAAGAGCTTCAGTCAGAGTGTAGATCTGCGTTCCCATCAAAGGATGCACACAGGGGAGAAGCCATATAAATGCATGGAATGTGGAAAGAGCTTCAGTCAGAGTGGGACTCTGCGTACGCATCAAAGGACCCACACAGAAGAAAAGCCACATAAATGCATGGAATGTGGGAAGGGCTTCAGTCAGAGTGGAGATCTGCGTATCCATCAAAGGGTCCACACAGGGGAGAAGCCACATAAATGCATGGAATGAGAAAAGAGCTTCGCACAAATTTCAGCATACATACAGAATTTTTTTTTTTTTTGGTTAATAGGACCCCCCTGACTGTCAGGTAGAAAAAGATGCAATAGATAGGAATGCATTACACATACCTCCAGTGTGTAATGATACAGTTCTTAATAGACATGTGTTCATAGCACACTACCCTAAAGGGTTAAGAAAATTGAGAAGATGATCCTAGAGGGACAGCTGAGTCATTTCCTGTCCTCTGCAGAGAAGAATGCGAGTGGCTTGTATGTGCACTTCCTTCTTTGCTACATGCAGCTTGCTCTCTGATATTTGTTAGAGGCCTTGTTGCAGCATACGTTACCCGTTCATTCGAGTGCAGCAGACAAGAAAGAGAATGGAGACAACAGATCGATTTCCAGGCTTTTACTATTTTGCAAAAAAGGGCGAACAGCCTCCAAAGGACAAAACACCCTCATGTTTCAATCACACCAGTATATATAGTGCAATTAGTGCTGACAAAATCAACTTTTCCTGCACATGTGCAGATAGTACAACATTTGGACAATTAAACAGATGAAAAACAAGTGTTCACGTGTACAGCTGTCCTCAAACCTTCTAACCTAGGTCATCTTATCAGGTCAGGCAAACATTTTGTGACGCTCGACATCTCCTGATTGTATAATTTGTTTTTTATGTAATTTAAACCTTTAGGTGGTTTCAGAGTTTAAATATTTTAAATCTTTAATTGGGTTATAACTCTCAAATGTTTATAGCATTTTAAAAAGCAAGAGATTTTAAAGCAGATTCCATTAAAGCCATCTCCCCAAGGGAAAAGTTGCTATAATGGTTCCCATATCGTTATTGACCTTTTTATTCTTTTCTATTTTCTTTTTAAAACCACCTCTTTGAATATCAATACAGGAACGGGTATTAGGCGGATTTCCTTTAGCCGTTTAGCTTTAAAACTTCATCATAACTTACTTTCTCAATATGAAAATAAGAAAGAAAAACAACAAAAGATTGCTTTTTCCCAATATTAGAAAATGCCTGCTATAACTTTTGTACCAAGGTGAGAAATCAATACATAATCTTCTGTTGAAATCTTCAGGGAGAAACGCTTTCAGGAAAAATCTGGTATTTTAAAATGTTTATATTTTAATTCTGAATTATATTGTAATATTAATATTATATATATTTAACTGCCCCTACAGCCTTGCCATAATTGTCTGCATATGTCATCCAGCAGCAT